AGAGACAGGCTTATTGGGTACTCCAAAGGGAAGTAATGGGGTTGCCAGTGTTAGGGAACACATTTCCCAAAAGCAAGAAGAGCAGGGGCTGGGGTTGTAGCTCAATGGCAGAGCTCTTGCCTCACATGTGTGAGGCATTGGATTTGATCCTCAGCACCACATAAAAATAAATAAATAAACAAATGAATGAAAGAAATAAAGTTATTCATGTCCATTTATAACTAAAAAAAGAAGAAGAAGGAGGAGGAGGAGGAGGAGGAGGAGGAAAGAACATTGTTCTGAAAGTTAGAATATTAAAGGCTAAGGTCTGCTCTCTGGCCATAGGTAATTCCCTGAATCTTGGGGCTGATTCATCATGGCTGCAGGTGATAATCTTTGCTTTCTCTATCCCATTGAGCTATAGCTGTGGGCAGCAGATAATGGGCCAAAAGAGTTCTGTAAAGTGTATGGGTTAATAATAAAAAAATAACTACAAGATTGCCAACATAATTTTCATCATCATCACCATCACCACCACCACCACCACTACCACCACCACCACCATCATCATCATCATCATGGCTCTTTAATGAGACTATACTTTTGTTTCACCTGTATCATCATCATCATCATCATAGCTCTTTAATGAGACTATACTTTTGTTTCACCTGCCAGGAAACAAGTTTTTCTTCCTCACTGATGAAAAATAGAATTGTTTATACACAGCCTTTGCTTATCAGACTTATAAATCAGTCCCTCCCCTTGGGCACTGGAAAACTAAATGGAAAAATCTCTCAGGGAATAGTAGCTCAGAAACCACCCACAGTGAGTTAAACTGGTCAATTTTTTTAGAAGTTTTTTTTTTTAGAAACTTTATTTACCAATTCCCAATCTTTTTTTTTTATTTTTATGTGGTGCTGAAGATTGAACCCAGTGCCTCACACGTGAGGGGCAAGCGCTCTGCCATTGAACCACAACCCTTCGCCCCTTTATAGAAGTTTTTGACTTTTTTGCAAAGAAACATACACATACACATGCCTGATGCACCTGCATGTGTACCTGCAAGTATATATGTGTGCCAACAGCAAAAGTAAGCAAAAAGGGACATTAGAGTTCTGAAATCTAACTCATCTTTCTTAGAGCAATATTCTTGGCAGGGCCTGGGGATACAGAGCAACTTGTTTTATTTAATTTTGCTTCAGTCAGCAAAAGAGGAAATACATTATTTAGCAAAGAAACAAAGAAACATTTGGTCTGAGAGATTGTTGGTATAGTTTTCACATAATTATTTTCTTCTTTCTTTTTTTTTTTTTTTTTGTTCATCAAGGGTAGTTCATTGTCTGTGGGGAGTTCAATAGAACAACCATGGATACCATAATACAGAGCACAGAAACTTACAAGTTGACTCTAAGATAACCTTCTCATTTTACAGATGGCCACCAGAAGGGAAGGGTTTGCTCAAGATCATGAAGAGGGGTGGTTGTTAGCCCTGGATTTGCACTCATTAGTCCAGAGCTCTTTCCCTCTCCTTGGGTCTCCTGACATGATTGCAGCAGTGCCATTCCAAGGCCAGCAGGAGACAGCATGAGTGGGGCACTGTCTCAGCTCACTCTACTATTCTCAGGCTCCTCTGCTGTTCAACTGGGTGCTTACCAGGGTGCAAGTCCCTAGACAGGCCTAGACACCAACGGCTGACAGCTGAAAGGACCATCTGTTGCGGTCAATTCACCCAAATATGTTAATAGCCGAGAGACAGCACAAAGCAGCAGTTAAAGTGTGTGCCCTTCTCCCACTGGACTGTCGTTTTATCACCTGCAGCTGCAGTCATTCGGAGCAGCCTGCTGAGGGCTGCCTCCTTTGCAGCCCAGTCTACTTCCTCGGTGGTAGCCTGCTGTGTCAAAGCTGCCCGATCTTGCTCACAGTGCAGGTGTTCATCACAGGCCTTTCAAATTCAGGCTGTGCTCATCACTCCTGCACAATCTACTACTTATCCTTACATTAGCTCCAGAAGCTGAGTTGCTGATCTTCTGCCAAGGTCTGAGATTTTTTTCCTTGGTCTCAGTTAACAAGATCTGGCTCAAGTGTCCTAGACACTCCACTTTGGGAATGACAAATAAGTCATACATGTCTAGGGGCTCTTGGCCTGCCCATTCTGGGAAGAGCAAAGACAGCAAGTTTCACATGATTCAGAGTACAATCTGCTCCTAGCTCTTTTGAACTATCACTCTAATTTATCAGATAAGAGCATTACAGGAAGGAGACTCTAGGTCTTTCATACACTGGAGCCATAGCCCCTCTGAGAGGCTTTCTCTGCACTCCAGCCCAGGGTGTGGGCTCCCAGTACCCTCTGGCAATCAGTGTGTGTGTGTGTGTGGGGGGGGGAGCTCAAGATACCACCTGACTCAGGCCCACCCTCAGGTACTGAAAAGAGGTTAAGGTGATTTCCATAATGAGATTTTTTTTCTTACAGATCATTTTTTTGGGGAGGTGGGGTGGTAAATGGGAATTAAACCCAGGAATACTCTATCACTGAGCTATATCCACAGCCCTTTTTATTTTTTTTTTTTTTTGAGACAGGGCTAATTTGCTGAGACTGATCTCAAACTTGAGATCCTCCTGCCTCAACCTCCCATGTAGCTGGGATTACAAATGTGTGACACTGTGCCTGGATTCTGCAGAAAAGAATTCTTATCTTTACACTCTTCCCCATCCTTCTATGGCAGTGGTTCTTACTAGGAGGCAATTTTGACCTCCTAGGTGTCACTTAAAATACCCAGAGGCATTTCTGGTTGTCATGACTTGTGGGTGGTGGTGGTTAATATTAATACCTAGGGAGATGAGGTCCAGATACTGCTGATGTCCTCCAGTGCACAGGATAATCCAGTTCCCAAAGTAAATAGTGCTGTGGCCAAGAAATCCTGTATTAGAGTAACTAACAAGCAGCCAGCTGAACTGTTTCCCTCTTATTGGTGATGATAGCAAATAGTGAAATATCTGACATAAGTGCTGAGTAGAGGACAAAGATTTACTCAGGACCCAAATAACCATAAATTGACCAAAGGCAAAGACTTCTACTTTGGGTTCACTCAGAAATACACTAAATGACTATCTGGCAGCCCCAGAATAGCAGGTAGATAGCAAAGAGTGCTCTCTACTGACCTCCAATCAGGGCAGCTGTAGAAAGGAAGAAGAGGCACCCAAAATCTCAAGGGAGCTCAGCTGCCCTGCATGGCAAACTGAGTTATGACAACCAGAAGACTATTCAGACAGCAAACATGCCAGTACCTCTCTGCCTGGACCTGTGCTAACATTGTGGGCACAGATGTATGACAAAGTAGCTGTCCTTGAGGAGCTCCTACTCTAGTGGAGACATGTAGCAGTAAACAATTACTGACATTCGCTCTTGGCTAGGCTGATCTAACTTCCATTTCCCCTTAAAAATACTTCTGGGAAGGGGAAAAACAATAAAGTAGAAAATAAAGCAGTGGAGCTACATTGCTGATTAAAATCTATATTGCTATGGCAGCCCCTCCGAGACAGGATCAGCTCCTGGGTTTGCACCAGCTGGGCTTGTGAAGCTTGTAAATAATTAAAAGGTAATTGGAAAGGGAGACCAAAGTATTAAGTGGATTTCTCTCTCTCAGGGCAACCAGGGAGTTTCATTGCTGCCAGTCACATTATCTTTCGGGATTATATTCTTGTTTTTTACTAACACATGCAGCTCCAGATAACCGTTGGAGAAGTAAACTAATTAGGGCCGCTTAAACTGCTTTTATAGGTTTGGAGATTGCAGGGAACGAGATTTAAAACTTTCGATTGCCCTTTTAAGTAAACCAGCAGTAATAGCCCTGCTACCAAGAAGGCAATAAGGCTTTGGAAGGTGAAAAAGGGAGGAGAAAGAGAGGGAGGGGAGGAGGAAAGGAGGGAAAAAAGGAGGAGAGAGGGAGGGAGAGAAAATGCGAGAGAGACAGAGACAGAGAGAGAGAGAGAGAGAGAGAGAGAGAGAGAGAGAGAGAGAGAGAGAGAGAGAGGGGGAGAGAGAGAGAGAGAGAGAGAGAGAGAGAGAGAGAGAGAGAGAGAGGGAGGGAGGGAGGGAGGGAGGGATACAGAAGCTCAGCCTAGAATAATAAGGAGAATTTCATTCCCAAGTCTCAATAAAGTTGCTGACACAGACCCCCAAGGATGCATGATCAGATATCAGCAGGGTCCTAGAAGCAGCGCTCTTCTATAGCTGTATCCTCAGGGTGATAAAACTGGAGTTACACAGTTTGCTGAGGGCATTCTCCTAGAGAATCTGGTTTCTGGCCATGCTTCCTGAGGACTGACCCAGCTGGTGAACCCATTGCTATGATATGATATTAAACTAGGAAGTTGAGTCACTGGGCTCAAGACTCAGTCACATCATGGTCTACAGTGCGATGGCTATTGGGGTTGGTGAGAAAGGCAGGAAAGGAAAGGAAAGGAGGAGAGAATTGAGTGGGTGCATTTCAATGCAGATGTACACATACCCTATAGTTAAACTGCAGAAATATTCTGACCAAACCACTGGATGCAAATATCAAAGAGCCAATAGATAAGAAGAAAATGTTGACTTTTTCTCTGTGGATCATTTCAGTTTCTCTAAAAAATTGTTCTACTTACCATTTTCAGTCTCTATGATATTAGATACATCATCAAGAAGCCCCACATGCTAGTCTAAGTGAAGCCCAGGGCAGCTATAAGGCTAAGAATAAAGCATATTTGAATTTGAAATGACTCCAGAGACCAGTTAATTAGAAGAGAGACAGAAATAAGGCAGTGCCAAGGATGATCACTCCATCCATTTTCTGCCAGTCATCTCTATCTTCTTCAATGTGGTTGTCAATTTTCAGACAAATCCTAAACCATTTACCTGAGCAGTAAATGCTGCTCATCTTTCTGGAAAAGGATGGGTAAGGAAGGATGTGTAACAGTGACTAGCATACAGAAAGCTCTTAATAAATAAGCACTGAATTGGAATACCAAAGAGACTGCACACTCACCCCTCTTCTGCATAAAGATGAAGAGGTCATCCAGGAATTCTTTCCTTTCAGGATCACTGTCCAGTTCATACAGCTGCAATCCCAACCCCAAGAGAAAAACAATGAAACATTCCACTTCACTGTAAGAAATCTCATAGTAGAGACACTACAATCACCCAAACAACTACAGTGCGACTGACTAACCACTCACATCCTCATTCTTAGGGAACAGACACAACCCACTGCAGAACTGCCCTCATCTTTATCACACAGGACATATTACAGACCTTGGCAAAATCTCGAGAGATCTCTCTTCCCCGACCTCCATCGGCATCATCACTCCAGGCCAAACCACCATTCTAGAGGGGAACAAAACATAACAATGTTGAGAAGGGAATAGGAAGAGAAAGAGTATGAGGGCAAGGTAATCATTTTGGGGGAAGATGATGCCCTTCAGATGATGCTTGGCTCAGACTAGAAATGACTGCTAAGTGACCACCACCTCTAATACTCTTACAAAAATATCTTTTTTTTTCCCTTCTCCACTGTTGGAGAAGAGTGGGTATCACTTATAGTTGATAAAGCTGTAAAAAGGGGACCCAAAGGCCCACTGTTCTAAAAAACTTTCATTCCCCAGTTGATCTTCCAGAAGCCATCACCTTAAAATCTGCTGAGCTACAGGTGTGAAGATACTCATACTAGTTTCCTACACAATGCTCCCAGTGGAGATAAAGGGCTAAAGGGAGCAGGGTAAAGACCTAGAAGTTGTGGTCTCTCCATCAAGCCTCACATTGGAAGCCCTAAGCCTAGTGATAAAAATGCCTTAGTGATATGAGGGTCATCGTAGGCTGAGGCTGTTCCCAAAGTACATACAGACTGGTGACTCTTGGGCACAGTTCATTTTCATTAGGAAAATAATGAACAACCTAAGCTTAATTACTTGATTAGATTAAATCAACACCATTCAACTGAACAGAAGAGAGAGTAAACACGCCTTTGTTTATGCTCTTTAAATTTGCTTCTTACCTTTAAATCAGCCGGGTAACTCTTTCTCTTCAAATCAGGCACCTCTTTTGCAAGAGTGCCTCCCTTTATCCCCAGCTGTACTAAGGACCCTAGGAGCAGTCTCTATTGCTAGTTTAGAATTTTTAAAAAAAAATTTTTTTTTTTAAGAGAGAGTGAGAGAGGAGAGAGAGAGAGAGAGAATTTTTAATATTTATTTTTTTTTTTAGTTCTCAGCGGACACAACATCTTTGTTGGTATGTGGTGCTGAGGATCGAACCCGGGCCGCACGCATGCCAGGCGAGTGCGCTACCGCTTGAGCCACATCCCCAGCCCCGCTAGTTTAGAATTTAACAGTACTTTGGAATTATCCGTCATCCCCACCAGAAGGAAAGCTCCTTGAGAGCAAAGGCATCTTACTTATCTTCGTACCCCAGCACACATCACATTGTCTGGCACATAATTAACTGGTTATTTGAACCAACTAAATGCCTCTTCAAAAAATATATAAATGCACATTCCATATGGTACAGTCACAATGTCTCTGTGCTGGTGGCAAGTATGAAATCTGTATAATTTTGTGCTACTTACTCTTGACCCATGGGACAATGGAGGGTCCAATGGGTGCGACTGGATGCCCTGACCCTGTTACATGCTCTCCTTTGTCTCCTAGTTCCACAGACACATGCAAAAACATCACCCACCTAGCTGGGGTATGTTTGTGGTAGAGGAGGGGCTTAGAACAGAGGTTTCTTGGGAGCACATTCTTTGGACTGCATGGGGATCTAGTTCTGTCAAAAAATGAGAGCCTGACTAGATTTCAGTTTACCCCGCTCTCCCTTTAATCAAGCTAGCCTGAAAGCAGGAGGCATCAATCAGTTATATCTGGAGGCCATACTTGTTTTTTTTCTACTCAAAGGGGGCTCTGAGATGCAAAGCCATTTCCCAATAGCAACAATTCAGCACAGGGTAAAGTAAATCTAACAAAGAAGCGACACCCTGTCAGTTGAAATGAAACAGGCTACACCAAATTGTTTCCCTGCTTATCTATTAAAAGATGTGTGTAAGGAAGTGCTTGGTAAATGCTATCATACCAGGCGCTCATCAGATCCTGAAGTAGACATTGTTAGAACTGTTCCTACAACAACTTCAGCTCAGAGAACCCAATAACCAAGCTGGAGAAACACTAGCTTGATTTTTTTTTTTTTTAAACCTCAACTCCACATTGTAATTACAGCCACCAGAAATATAGTGTCATCTGGTGGTAACTAGTACAATGAATAATCAAGATGAATTATGCCTGTCAGGTCAGCAAAACCAGACTGTTACATTCCCGCTTTCAAAGGATGCAGTAGGTCGCTCTAATGCCCAGTGATTTTGTTTGAGCCAGTAATTCCTGCTGGAAAGTCAATTATCCCAGGAGCCCCCATTGGCTGAAAGACATTTAATGGGGGGATCATTGCTGCTTCTGTTATGTCAGCTGTTTACGGTGGCAGCTCAATTCCCAACCCTCTATAGCCAGAGATCTGAGGCCTACGTTGTTCATAAGATAATTCTTTCTCTATAGGTCACTAAGAGATGAAAACTCCAGTTTTTTTGCTAATTACTGTAACTTGCAGACATGCTGAAGGCTCATTCAGAAACTATTTAACACTCAGTTGGATGGTGAGGACAGAATCCACAAGCTAGAAATCTCAGACAGGGCTCTCTCAGCAGGACAGGAGTGTGAGAACAAGCATGCCAGTGTGAGCACCATGGAACTATGTGTGAAAATAAACACCCAAGTGTGAGCTCAGCTCCAGAGACAGAGAAGAATGTTTTGGTACAGTGGGGGCTGGGGCCCCGCCAGGCCTCCATTCCAGCTCTTCCCAAACTGGAAAGGAATCTGTGCATCGGATATAGCTGAGAAATCTGCTTTGTAAAAGAATTTTAGCCTAAAAGGCTTTCAACTCAGTGACTAGAGGACAGAAACACTGACCAGAAGAGGACAAAAATGAGACACCAAACTCTTTGAGTAATGCCACTATTTAAGCTTTCCATAGAAAGGAATTGTCAGTTACTACTGAAAGAAAATGCAAGGAAAACAGATGACTCAGTGTGGGCATGTTTTCTTTAGTCTAATTCCAAGTCAATGATGGCCCGTTAATTTAAAATATTCAGTTGGGGCTGATGGAAAAATGTCTAATGTGCAGTAATGCCTCTGTCTTGAGGTAGTTAAACTTTGATCCTGCTTCACAGGATTTTCTGGCTGAGGTGAGAGTAATTCCTGAACCCTGTCCACCAGGCAGATTCAACGCTTTTCAGCTCAAGTTCTGGTTATTTGTACCCCTATGTCTTCACTCTTAAAGCATCTATGGGTATCTCCTGTCTCCAGCACACAAAAAGCACTGACATAAATGCTAAAAGACAGACATGGGCTCTCCTAGGACCATCAACCTCATAACTCCTGTCTCCACTCTCCCTCCCTTCCCAATGGCAAGATTATAAGCTTAACCAGTAATTCTCTTGGTTCTCCGATCAACTGCCATAAAAACATGGCTTACTTACACAATTCAAGTTTATGTACAAGAAATTTCTTAGACTATCAATGAGCTATGGGTGTAACAAACTAGAAAGTTACCAACACCAAAATAATTTTTCTAAGATGATGAGTATTGGCTGACAGAGGCTACAGAGGTGGAAGAAAACAGGAAATGGTGGAAGCAGGAGAAGTGTGGAGACACACATGCAAAAAGAGCTCAACCGTTTCGGGTTCACAAGGGATCCACAGAAAGAGCATTTCAGATGAAGGGCTGCTGCATGGAAGTATACCTTGCTGAGGAACAGGGTACCCCATCAGCAGCAGACCACAGTATTAAATAGCCCAGAAATGTGTGTGGGAAGTCAGCAGTAGCCAGAGTGGTCACTTATTGCCATTTACAGCCTCTTCTACTTTAGAACTCTTTAAACATCTTTGATCTCACCAGGAGCTCACAGGAAACTGACAGTTTGCTCCCAAATACCCATCCAACACCAGATTTGGCTTCTACACTCACATTGGCCTATTTTCCCCAAGGAAGTCAGAGTGTTTTGCCTGTAAATCCCTCCAAAATGGTAGTGAAAGAAGGGGGAGGAAGGAAAAGGAATATAGTATTTGTGTGCTTTTTGTGTTTTAAGGGTTGGACCAGGAACCTGAGAAGCTTTTTCTTACTTAATTCTACAATGTATAGGGGATTATTTAAGAGGTGGGGAAAAATTGGCTCAATGCGTTCAAGCAACTAGCCCAAAGCCTCAGAACTTCCAAGTAGCAGCAACAGGATTCACACCTAGGTCTCACTTCATAACATACTGCAGCCTCATGGGTTGAAAGAGTATTAGAACACAGTCTGGTTGGAGAGATCAAGAAGGGAGAAAAAAAGAGGAAAAATGTGGAAATAAAATCCTCTGTCCACAGAATGCCCAAGTCACAGCCTTGGGTGGCTCTCATCAATGAGAGGTTCTTTTAATCCTTGATTCATCTCATTAGTGTCTTTTGGGTATTTCAACCAAACGAAATAACACAACATGTGCTCTGAGAATTATCTGGGGGAAGTGAAATAAGAATTTACCCCTACCTCCAAAACAATCCATCTATCCAGTGTAGGATGAGCTCCTATATTCCCTCAGGGGATAAGAGACAGAGGGGAGGGCAGAGAAGGGGTGAGAGAGGGAAAGGGATGGAGACAAAGAAACTGACAGGCAGACAAGGAGATTATACTTCTGAGGGAACCAGAGAAAAATGGCACCCAGCATCCTGTCAAGTACATATAAGGTTTTAAAAACAACAAACCCTAAATCTAACTAATCTAACTGCTACTCAAAATAAAACAGTGCTTCTAGTCTAACATCTCAATCTTAGAAGAAAATGAAGATTCACTACATTTGAAAAATCTAAAAGTTGCCTGTGGAAGAGAATCTGCTCCCCCACCTCCTATCCCCTAAAGCAAACCGAGGGCTACTGGGCAGAAGTTGCCAGGGGGAAGGTTCCAAGCCTACAGGTGAAGCCTCTTCTTAACAATTAGAACTGCCTAGTAATGGAGTGAGCCTTCTCAGGAGGTGAGCAGCTTCCTGTCTCTAGATGATCATCTGTCTGGGATATCACAGTGTGGAATCCAACACAAAACGGGGTTGGGCAAGATGATCTCTAGGGGCCCTTTCTGCCCTGAGAAGCAAAGATCTGATGACAAATTTATTCAACACAGATTTCCTGAGAACCCACCTAGGAATAGCACTGTGCAAGCTGCCGAGGAGAGTACCCCATCCTCAAAAATATAGGTCCCACCACTGGAAGTTTTACCATGAGTTAGAAAAACAAGCACACCTATAGCATTTAATAATG